CAAGTGCAAACAGCAGGAGAAGAAGAAAGACAAGGCTGCCACAAAAGCCAATAGTTCTGCAATGAGCAGCAATAAGCTTGCAAGTGGGTCCAGCTGGCACAACTTGACCCTTTGCAAGCAAGCCTTGGATGCTTTGCAGGTCACCCCGGCCTTGGAGAAAGACTATGGGGTTTTCTGGAACTTGGAAAAGGATTTGCTTGATGCCAAGGCAGAGGCTGAAGTTGGCCCTGTGGTGTTCAGCGAAGGCCAGGCCCAAAGCCTTTGCGACGAGATGACCAACAACGAGTACTACAAGTTCCAGAAGGTTTGGGTGAGCGAGCAGATGAAAAAAGGTAGGTTCTGGTGCCTTCTTGTCTGCCCAAGTCACCAAAGCTGCCGTGTCCAAGAAGATGACGGGGTTGTGGAGCAAGCTGGCGAACGCTGGAGCTCTTTCCCATGTCAAGACTTCAGAGAACTTGGTGAAGGAGATGTTTGTCCCGCAGTTTTTTTCAGCAAGCAAAGGGTTGCCAGGTGAGCCTGCACACCGACTTTGCTTTGCCAGACTGCAGGCTTCAGTTGGAGGGCAAGAGCTTCTTGGCTGGGGTGCCTCTGGACAAAGTGCCTGGCAAAGACTTGCATGATAAGCGTGGCTGGTTGATGAATGCGACATGGGAGCAGTTTTCAGCTCTGAAGACTTGGAGTGTCAGCATGGTGCCTGGCAAGGGTGTGGTCATCCCCGGTGACCATTGCTTCTTGTGCGCGACTCTCGATGACAGCCATGGTGGAAGAGTGCACATGCTGATGGATGGGCATGCCCAGCGAACCCTGGAGGTTTGTCACAAGCAAGTGCAAGACAATGCAGCCCTGCAAGGTCTCAAGACTGGAAAGCTGCTTGAAGCTTTGCAGCTGCAGCTGAAGGCACCGACAGACGCCGAGAACTTGGCCTTGACAGAAGCAGCAGCGCAGCCCCCGTTGAAGCGCTTGAAGTCCACCCCTGCTTTGGGAAGTGCTGGCTCAGGATCTACTGCGTAGATTCAGGCTTGCAGCCAGCAGAGCTTTGTCAGTCCTTGCAGCCTGCAAGGCAGGGCTGCTGGTGAATTTTGTTTTGACTTGGATGGATTTTGCCGATTGGCGTGCTCAGCGCTCAGATTAGATTCATGGCAGTCAGGGTCAGGGCCTCGAGAGCATTGTTTGCTTTCTCTTTTGGGAAGAGTGCTACGTCAGCAGTCATGTTGGTGTGCACAGGGGCCAGGCACTGCGGCAGGAGCTCTGACGGGGTGGTCAGATAACTCCTGTACGCAGGCGCTGGCAACCTTTGGTTGGCAAGCTTAGCTACCTTGACGACGTGATGTTCTGAGACTGAGAGACAGCTTCTCGTATCCGAGCCCCCAAGTCCCCCTAGTCCTGTAAGGAGCTGAGTTTCAGGGAGGGAGGCATTGCAAGAGAAGTGGTTGCTTTGTAAGTAGTGTTGTGTTTATGTTCATTTCCTTTTTGTGGGTTCAAGCTAGGGACAAGGATAGGACAGCCACCCATTTTGTGTCATTGTTTTCTTGTTCACTAAGCTTCTTACCCAGTAGACCCAGCAATGCAAGGAGCCTTGAGACCTCAGCCCGTTCATGTGGCCAACAGGGCCAAAAGGTTTCTGCAACAGAAGGCCGGCGGCAGTCTGGCCGACCCAAACTTTGAGCGAAAGCAGTGAAAAGTCCACGCCTCCCTCCGTGCACCTTTGTGTTTGCTAGTGTGCTTTTTTTCTCACCACGTGCTCTTCGTAAGAAGCCACCACATACAACTTACGACAAAACATGTTGTTTTCAGACAGTCTCTTTTGCGTGTGCCTGGACCCTCGCGCCCGTCCCTTTCAACCTCTCAACAAAAGGTGCAACTTCTTTGGGATGAGTTTTTTTTCAGAATACTCCAACACGCACACTTGGCAGCTGGCAGTCTGCAACCTTTCTGTAAATAATTGCCAAGCAAGCGATGATCCACCAACACCGTTTGCTTTGCAGCTTTGTGCAGGTTCAAAAGGGGTTACTTATGGCCACGAAACCTTCCAACTTCTAGGAGGGCATGTAATAGACACAGCTGCGTGCAAAGATGCAGAAAGAACCCATACAACGCATCAAACATTTGCATTGAAGGCAGGGACAACACCATCTTACTTAACAGGTTTGGTTTTTGGTGAGCTTTGGTGAGCAAAGGATGGGCGCCCTTGAGTTGCTTGTTGCTCTGGTGTGCATGCTGACCTTGGTAGCTCGGGAAACTTTGTCATGGTGCTACCACCAGATGGCAAAGCACCCCAAAGCTGCTGGTCACAAGATGGTGCCTGTACACACCAAAGCATGCCAGACAGACCTGTCTGGTGAAATGGCTGAACCTTCCATCAGGTTGCCACCACAGGTTTTGGTGACAACAAGTGGCAATCGCTTTCATATCCACCGTTGCGAGCATATCAAGAACAAAACACATGTGAGCGCAAAGATGCCTTGTGCCAGCTGTGCGCGTCTTGAACTGAAATCCTCTCATGGCCTGTGAGGCTGTGCTCGACACCGCCTTTTTTTTGGAAACCTGATCGCAGCTGGCAAACCTCTTTGGGCGCGAACCTTTCATGTGCTGACAGGAGTACCCTTATGGTTCTATTTGCCAACGCCAATTCAATTGGATTGGGTTTTGGAAATGTGTAGACCGAAACCTCTCTGACGCCCAGATGTCTAAGAGGAAACATTTGTGATGCAAATCGATCTGTATGCAAGAGGCAAAAAAGAGCTGAAATCACCTGCTGTCATTTGACCGTTGTTTCACATGCATTCTCACAAGCAAATCAACTTTGCAGCAGCTGTGGTCATAAGCGTTGCTGCAAAAACGAATTCTTTTTTTTGCAACCCGTCAGCTCACTTCTTTTCCTGTGTAGCAGTTAGGAGTGTGGATAGCAAACACGTTTTTCGGTTCATGGTTACCTTTGGTTGAGCTCTTTAGTAAAACACATGTTGCATTCTGGACGAAAACCTTTTTTTGTCACGGTTTCTGGCTTTGTAAAACTTGTGCATTGAGGCAGACCCCC